ATGTAGGTTACTTATTGTTTTCACAGCCCCAGGGCTACTCATGAGTTATTAGCAAATAATTGGGTACTTCTGCTTACACTGCTGATTTAGCACAGAGCAGGGTGCTGGCTCCTGAGGAATCCCACTTATAAAGAAGAGAGGTTTATTTCGGGCAATGGCTCCAGATTTCAGTTCATTGCTGCTTGGCTCCCATGTATTACAACCCATTCTCAGGGGAGCCTGAGCGTCAAGGTTGAAATGTATCAGATGATAGCTTATTACCTCATAGCAGCCTAGGAAGTGAAAGGGACCCTTTAGTCTACATTCCTAAAGGTCTACCTCCCCACAGCTCTATAGGGTGCTCTAAGTAAGCCTTTAGTATAGGACCATTTGATATCCAAAGTGCAACAACCTGAGCCATTCTGGAGGAAGCTAGCAATGTCTGTGCCTGATCCAAAAGCCACGTGGCAGATGACTATAGTCAGAAGCCCTCAGGGGATGTCTAAGCTAGTCATGCTTAGTCCTTTAGGTAGCAGCCTTCATGTCTGCCTCTTCATGGCATGCTGCTTTCTTATCTCAAGGGACCATGATGCCTTAGGGATGTAGGTCTGTGACCATAGCCTGTCTCACTTCAGTCTGCAGTAGGAGTGGGTTAGGGTGTAGCTCCCCACTGCTATCCCTTATGTAAAACTCATGTTTTAAAGGAGGTATCCATTTTCAGGAGATGATCACTCAAAATGTGGTAGACACATGCCACGGGGCTGCCATCTCCTCCCTCATTATGGTACGTGGCAGAGATCACAAATCAGTCCCTCATGATATCACCATCCAATCCCTCATGACATTTTTTTTTCACTGAGCCTGGACCTGGCCTACAATCCCACTCATTTTCAGCCCTATGGTTAGCAACTTTTCTTAAAGTGAGGCTTGTCTCTTGAACCCTGTTTTATTATTTTTGCTTGCTAATTATTATTATTATTATTATGTATGTTGTGCTTATATGTATAGGTATGCTGAATAATTGGAAGCCAGAGGTTGACACATCCTTAAACACTTTCTACCTTATTTTTGAAACTCACTCTATAGAATAGGCTGGCCTTGAACTCAGAGATCCTCCTGCCTCTGCCTCCTGAGTGCTAGGATTAAAGGTGTGCATCACCATCACCCAACCTATTTCCCTTTCTTAATGAGATCTATATGTAACCCTTACTCTATATCTAACCTCTGTGGTTCTACAGACTGTAGCTTGGTTATCAAGAATTATCTTAACAGTTAATATCCACTCATAAATAAATTAACATCATATTTCTCTTTCTAGATCTGGGTTACCTTACTTGATGATTTTTTTCTAGTTCAACTCATTTGCCTGCAGTAATAGGTTATGGAATCCCATTGGGGACAAATTCATGAGGTGGTGGACATTGATCCCCTAAAAATGGAACTGAACTTACTCAGAACTAGAAAGTGATATCACATATTGTAGTGTTATCTTAGTCATAAACAGATAGGAAACTGAGTTCCCATTGTAGATACCTGTCTAAGAAGCACAGGAGTTGGGGACTTGGCACAGAAAGCTTCAGGGCACTAATGTGTTTTAGACAGCCTACACCAGGATCACCTTTGTTTTGGAAGAATGTTGGGTGATAAGAGATGTCATTCTGTAAATATGTGTCTCTTATTGATTAACGAATATAGCCCTGTTGGCCGATAGAAAAGAAAGACAGGGTGGGACTAGGAGACAAAGAGGATTCTGGGAGATGTAGTAGAGAAGAGTCAAAATGTAGGATGAAGAGGAGTAAGAGGTTTGGACCCTCTCTCTGGTAAGATAAGACCATGTGCGTATTATTTGGTGCTGATGGGGCTGTGGGACCAGGCTGGTGGGAAAGTGCTCATAACAAAATGGTGCCTACAACATGGGTACTAAGAACTTCCACTAAAAACTTAACAAAAGCTTAAAAAAAAAAGGATTTTAAAAACAAAAGAACAGAGACAAGCAAGGCTTCTTGGTAGCAACATTATTCTTGGGTGGGCTCTTTTTTGCTAAAGACAAGAAGAGACTCATGGGGTTCCTTTAAGAGAGGTTTTCTGACTCAGAATAAGAGGAAAAGACCTCAGGGCACTTTTAATAGGCCTTGCTAACAAGTGAATGCTTGTACAACAGCTGCAGAAGCAAGCAGATCTCTGTGATTTCAAGGCCAGCTTGGTGTACAGAGTGAATTCCAGGACAGTTAAAGTTACACAGAGAAACCTGTCTCAAAAACTGAAAAAATTAGAAGTAAAGAAATAGAGTAATAAAAAAGCCACCTAAAGATGGGAAATACACAGAAAGTCTGGGTACTGTATGTTATTGTGTTGTCTTTGAATTGCTCAGTTGCTTGATTATAAAATATACTTGATTATCAATGTTGTTGAATTAATTCAACTTAAAAATTTTAAAAATACTTTGACTTCAAAATTTAAGTCTAAGGACAGGTTACTGGGGAAAAGAATTTCTACTTTTGTTTCCACAGAAAATGAAAAGTAACAGACTAACATAGTTTGATTAAGCAAGACCCCCTGAAACAGTGTCCCAGGTGAGCCAACATTCAAAATAGCTAGGACAAGGCAGCCTTGCAGACTACAGCCAAGATTTATGCATCTTCTTAGGATTCCCATGATATTACAGCATTCCCAACCAGCAGGAAGCAGTTTGGAAATGTTGTCTATAAATGTTTGCTTTCATTTAAATGGGGTTGGTTATAAATGGTTAATGATCACAACCAATCTTTTTTTAAAGGTAAAAGGGGATTATGGTATAGAAATGAATATTTTGTATTGGAATGGATTTTCATTTATTGATACAAATTTAATGTCAATTTTGTGATATGTATATTTCTCTTCTTGTTTAAGTATTGTATTTATATAGCTATAATAGTCAAAACTTACAGTTTTGACATATATATATATCAAATGAATAGGCATTCTTCACACTTTTCAAAGACCTATAGAATATGGCATTTAAAATGGTTTAGGATTTTTCTTGACAGTGAGACATAACTGCTTCTGGCAATACCACCTTCGTCACAAAGGAAGATGGACCTTGAAGAAACTGGTTATGGAGTTCACTCTCAATGTGGCAAGACTAGCCATTTGGGCAAGAAACGTCTCTTGTCTGGACTGTTTGACTTTATACTGTATAAACTAGACATGCAGGACCCATAGAAAAAGTGACTTCTGAAACAAGATGGCCATTGATACAGAGTTCCTGCTTCATGGAAGAGTCTTCCAGACATTCTGTAGGACACAGAGAAAAGTGACTGACAAACTGCTAATACAGGTAGACAGTTTAAAGTTTCCTACTTTGCTGAGGAGTCTGCCAGACACACTATGGCCTATAGGCTGAAGATGGGACATTACATAAGAACTTCGGGTTTCTGACCAGGTAGCAAGTGGTCTCTGTCATTTCTAGAGTTTATTCTATTGTCTTTGATGGAGTTGAAGACAGATAGTTAAGTTATAGTTTTCCTTAGTTAGGATTAAAGGTAAGTCACATAGTAGACTTTAGACTCACAAAGATAGGATAGATGATAGAATATTTTCTTTAATTCCTAATAGTGCTAATGGACTAAATACTGTTAACTATAATTCTTATTTGATAACTTTTGTTATATATTTTATTATGTTAATGTTAAAGCCCTTCTTTTTATTTTAGACAGAAAAGAGGAGATGATGGGAGATATAAATCTATAAATATGTTTCTTTTAATGGTTAATGAATAGCCCTGTTGGCCAATAGGAAAGCAAGATAGGTGGGACTAGGAGGCAAGGAAGATTATGGGAGATGTAGTAGAGAGGAGATTCAAGATGTAGAGACTTGAGAGAGAAGAGGTCCAGGCCCTCTCTCTGGTAAGATAAGACCATATGGAAACACTTAAATTGATAGAAATGAGTTCATACTTAAGACAGAGCTAGCCAATAAGAAATGCTAGTAACTGGCCAACAGTTTCATAATTAAATATAGTGTCTCTACATGTTATTTGGGGCTGATGTGGCTGTGGGACCAGGCTGGTGGGAAAGTGCTTGAAACAGTTGGGGGCCTCAGCTTTTCAGGGTTATAGGTGACATCAGTCAAGAGAGCATGCGTTTCTGAGTTATGCAGGAGCCAGTTGTTTATGTAAGACACTGCCATACAAAACCATCCCCTCTACCTATGACTGCCAGAACTGTCATCCCAGCCAGAGAGAGGCCTTCTCTTGATCTCAGCCTCCTCCTTTAGCACACATACCCTCTCTTGAGGGAATCTCAGTTGCTCTAATTTTCTGACACTTCTTTGTGTAGGACCATATTTATTGTTTACCTTCTAATGGGTTCAATCATTCCGACAGACAAGAACAAGATGTGGATGTTTTCTGCAGCCCTACTTGCTGAATGTTCTGGTTGGTATGATAGAAAACACTTGTACATGGGCCAGTGAGGTAGCTCAGCAGATAAAAATGCTTGCCATTAGCCTGACAACTTTAGTTCTATTCCGAGAACTCACATGGTAGAAGGAGAGAATTAACTCCTAAAAGTTGTCCTCTGACTTCCACCTATGCACCATAGTACACACACACACACACACACACACACACACACACACACGTAAAAACTACTTGTGTGCTTGGGATCAATGAATTGGGCTCTCCTAAGAACTCATATTTTGTACTTCCCTGGTTCTCTGTATAAATCTAATCCTTGATATTGGAAAATTGGATCTTGGGATTGTTTTGTCATTTTTATAAATATCACAAATTTAGTTATGTGCTAGGTACCCCAAGTAGCTCAAAGCTTACTGTTCTTTTATGAACAATGGAAGGTGAGATGTAGATCAACACAGAGAACCCCCATCCCCATGAGCTTTAGTCTTTGCAAAAAGATGTGGTGAACACAGTCCTGCTCCCGAGTAGTGTCCCTGGTCCTGAAGTCCACCATTTTGTTCTGTATGTGCCCTGCCTGAAGACCTCAGCAACTACTTGAGACAGGTGTGGGGTGACAGCCACTCACCTTCACACTTGAGCAGAAAGAAGTCCATGTTATGGCTGAAGGAGGCACTGAAGTAGGTGCAGTTCTCCACTAGGTCACAGGACAGACACTGCCTGTTGAAGTCATCGACTGTGTTGGCACTGGAAGAGCAAAGAGTCAGTGAGATCAGAGGCAGGGAATGAGTGACCATGAACATCAAGTCTGAGTTCCCCAGCAGGGACCTCTCCTCTGAGGCTACCCTGCCATTCTTGCTGCTAATCCCCTAGGCTTTACTCCCATCAACATTCCTTTGACACTTCACTTTCTAGAGCCTTTCCAATCCATACTCTGGAGACCTCTCAGACCTTCTAGTCCTGGGTGTCAGCTACTTGACCATCAGTGAAACTAGGTGGGACCAGGGTGTGGAGACTGCAGTTATGGATGCCATTGCCTATTCTGGTCATGGGCACTATCACATGGTCATAGATACATTAATCATCTGGCAGGGGTCATGGTTACTGTCAACTGGTGCTATCATGGGTACCCTCACCTGGTGATGTTGTGGGTACTATCATCTAATGAAGTCATGGGTGTCATCACTTGGAATAATCATGGGTGCCTACAGTGGTCATGAGCACACTCACAGGGAGCTTTCTACCCAAGTGAGTGACTCTTTGAACAGGTTACTGGCAATCTGTGAAGAGTGGAGAGTTCTATATTCCTTGAGTGTCAAGTGCATTAAGAAGGGGCTCTGTGAATGTCAAGGAATAGTATCGACTGCTTCCAGAACCCAGTTCTCCTGAAAGCAGAAGGGCAGTGATTGAATTTCTCGCTTAGGGATGAGGGCAGTGAGAGAAATCAATTATAGGTTCCACCTGGGACCACCATGGTCAGGTTTAATCTTGATCAGAAAGTTGCTGTCTTCACATGGCACTAGGAAAGTTCCTCTGTAAGCATAGCTTCCAATGTGGAGTTTCTCTTCCCGAGAATGAAGACATCATGGGAGAAAGGTGCTATTCGTCACAAGGAAGGGACAGCAGGCTGCCTTCCTGCTTTTTATATAGTGGATAGCCTGACTTTCATGATCATAGGAGGCCCATAGTGGTGAACAGTCTACAGAGAGAAGCGGTTCCATGATACCAGGACCCTGCCCACTCATGCCAGCCTTATACTCAGAATGGAGTCCACTGGCTGGAGGGGAGACCTCTGTGTGTTGGGGACTTCTCTAGCTTCTCTGGTCCACACTGCCAGCCAGGTGCTCCTTCCAGTGGCTATTGTACACTCAGGCAGAAGCCAGGTGCAGGTCTCCTAGCTAAGAAATGTCCAGAAACCCCCGTTGTTCCTCCTCCTCTCTCCCAAACTGGTAGGAACTAAGTTAACCTCAAAATAAAGTCCTCTCTCATGAGATCAGTAAGCAGTTAGCAGGATGAACTGTTGAGAGGGTGATCTTGTATCTGGTTCCTTTCTGGGTTCCTAGCATGCCCATCCATTTTCTATGTTATTTGAGGTTGTGGAACTTGGGCCATGACCTCACACAGCCAGCCTGCTGCATGGAGGGAGATGGCAAAGCCAGCCTCCTCTCCATTCAGTCACTGGCTGATTCCCAAACCAGACTCAGCCCAAACCAGTCCTCAAAATACAGAGTTGAAGGCAATTTGCTAAGGTAACACTCGAATATAGGAGCAAGACAGGCAGACTCCTTCAAGAAAAGTGTGTGTGTGTGTGTGTGTGTGTGTCCGTGCATCAATTTTGCCAAAGTAGAAACAGGATTCAAGGCCTTGGGTTATGTGGTTTCTGCACTTATATCTCTCCACACTTTCCAATTACTCAGCCTCCCTTGCTACATCGTATTTGCTGTGATCCTGTGAGGCCAGGAGGCCCCTGCTGGCATGCGAGTCAGTTACCTGTAGAGCTGTCGTCTCCGTGGCAGGTCCTCTGTGCTCAGGAAATAGCTGAGGAGACATGGGAAAGGTATATATGGTTAGCTTGCCTCAGGGCACATTTGCAGGCCACAAGTCCTACCCTAGCATTTTCACAGTACCTCTTAGGGACTATGACCAACATAAAGAACAATGCTGATGTTAGGTCGGGCCATACTCATGACCACAGCAGGGGAAGGCCAGATGCTACAGGCAGAGGGATACACTGTCAACATCAGGTATCTCCTGCACTGGTCCTGGTCCCAGTGCTCTGGGTCCTGATGCAGCAGTGAGGGCAGTGGCAGCACACACCTAGATGTGAACATGGGGTTTTCCCTGGAGATTAGAAACCTCCTGATGGGCAAGGACTAGAGAAGACTGTGTATGATCCCATAAACCTGGTCTGGGGAATGCACATCTGCCAGTTTTCTCCTTAGCCTGAGAGTACCTACTGTGTGAGCAGGGAGGCTGCACAGCATCAGATGCAGAGCTGGGCCTGGATCCCTACAGAGTGAAACCTGGCTCTCTCCTGTTAGACACTGAGTGATCTGGAGACAGCAGCTTAATTTCTTTGTGTCTTGGTTTTTTTATTTATGTTATTTTATTTTATTTTATGTGTGCATGTGCATATAGGTGCATGCTTGTGTGTATGCAGATGTATGTGTATGCAGGTGGACATGTGTGCATTTGTCTGAAGAGGTCATAGTCTGACCTTGGGTATCATTCCTCAGGAGCTGTTTGTCTGGTTTTCATTTGAGGCAGTATCTCTCATTGGACTTGGCTCACTGATTAGGTAAGAGTTGTTGGTCAGCAAGCCCCAGGGTCCCTCTTCCCCAGCCCTGGGATTACAAGCACAAGCCACCATGTTTGGCTTTTCATGTGGGCTCTTTAACAATGGAACCATGCCCCTGGCACCTGTCTTAGTTTGTCTTTAAATGGCCAAGCATACCTAACCACAGTATTAGTCAGATCATGCTGGAGATGTCCTTAGCCTTTGCCCAGGTCTACAGAGACTCAGTAAACAGCTGATACAGAGAACTATCTCTGTGAATCCATGTCACCTCACTGGTCTGTGCAATATTCCCTTTGTCACGGTGCCTTGTAGCTTTAGGAGTTGGCTGAGTCAGTACCTGGGCTCACAATGAAGCTAGGGGTGAGTGCTATGGTCTAGGAGGGCAGGGAAGTCCTCTTGAGCTGTGTTTTTATTCCACTGTAGTATGTTTGACTAACAACACGTGGGTCTGCTAGCAGTAGGAGACAGCCCCTGGGACCACCCCCCAGTTCCCACTCACATCTTATTCCGCTTCTCATCATAGGACAGGATCTTGGTCACATCCCAGTCCCCAGAGGTGATGGACTGGATGTTGTCATTGCTGCTGTTGGGCTGAAATACAGACAAGATGTCAAGAAGGAGACACTGGACTCTAGCTTTGCTGCCTCATTCTGAAGCCTGTCCGAGTGAGGCAATATCCACCCCCTTTCTGCTTCTCTTCTGTGTGACTTGGCTTGTATTCAGCATCCCTCATGATGGGCTCTGATGCCCACCCCACAGTCTGAGTGTCACTGATGGCAGTATCCCATGGTCTCTCCGCAGGGCTTGTTCCTGGCACCTCATCCCATGTTCTACAGATACACACCCAAGGCCAATGCACTTGTGAATTTAATGCTTGTGTTAGGACCCAGGGTGGGGGAAAGAAAGTGTGTGAGGAAAAGGATGAGATCAGGCAAAATCAGGAAGGAGTTGAGAGGGATGAACTCAGTGTAGTTCTAACCACCTGTCATCCTTGCTGGGGTCCAGGTGCCACAGGAACTGACTATGACTCCTGCTTAGCTAGCATACTTCTCAAGTGTCTCCCAGAGCCCTGTACTATAGCCACACAGAGCATGCTATCATGGTACCAGGTACAGGCAGCATTCAAATTTTCACCTGGGATGCTGAGGTGCAGTTGTGGGTGGCTGTTCTGAATGGCATATTCTCTGGGGAGCCAGTATGGAGGGGATGGAGCCTAAGTCAGGTGATACAGACCAACACTTGGGACTGCAGACCCAGGAGCAGGCCGTGTGTGTGTGTGTGTGTGTGTGTGTGTACCTGAGTGTGGATGTGACTTCAGGAAGGCAGTGCAGCCTCAGGCAGTCCTCAACTTGGAAGAAGAGGCCAGGCAAGAAGACTGTGCGCTTTGAGCAAGGTGGGAACCACTTTCTGATGGATGCTAAGGGGTTCTCAGCAAATTCTGGTCATCTGCAGGAATTTGGAAACTGGGGCTGAATGAAAGCCTCAAAAAATTTTTAATCTTGCTTGAAATGGCCCCAGTGACAACGTGAACAAATTAAATCAGGTTTTTCACATCCTGTAAGTCATTAAGTTGCTAGGAAACAGAAATGCTTGCCTAAGCTGGGAGTAGCCATCATTCCCACCCAAGGCATCTCAGGGCTTTTATCTCCTCCCTCCAGATATTCCTCGAGGAGATGTGGTCTTTCTTCTGGGTCCACACCATATACACAGGCCTCCTACTTCCTATCTACAGCGTTTCCAGACAGCCTTCTTCCTAATTATATTTTGTATACTTGCCCCCAATTCTTGATCACTTCAGTTAGCTTTAAAATAAAACCTGCACACAGAGGATGGGGTTGATGACACAGAGGGCCAAGCACATGCCCATCCCTCCTACCATCTGTCTCAGGGCAGAGATCTGAAAACTCAGCATCCAGGAAGCTATGGCAACTGTGCTTGCAGGCAGGCATTCCCAGATATCCACTCCACTGCTCAGCAGCTCTTAATCCTAAGCCGCCTGACCAGGACAGGTGTGTTTGAGTGGCAGCCACAGTATCATTAATGTTAGATATGCTGGCTCAGGGTTGAGGCAGTCCTGGGAGAGACTCATGAAGGGCGTGGAGCAACAGGTGGCCTTGAGGAAAGGGAGAGTGCCAGGAAGGACAGACCGGTACTCAGCAGTCATCTTGAACACTCATTGCTACCCACCGGTGGGTCTCCATGTCTCTCTATTGTTGCTAGAAATGTCATGTCCCATGTTCATGTTCTTGAGTATCAGTATGAAAATCTAGACTCCAGTCACTGCTGTGCTTAGAGCCTCTGTATTTGGACAAGTGCCATGCTGCTTCCATCTGTAAACAGCAGCCTCCCAGGGCTCCCTGGGGTCCTGGGAAGGGTCACTGTGCATACCCAAGGCCAGCACCAATACTACAACAGCACAGAAGGTAGTGGATTTACCTGTGATGACGACACGGTGATGTGGTAGAATTTCCCCCGTCCCCCTTGTGGGATTGCTCTGACAAAGAAGAACTTCCGGCCATCCTTGGAGAACACAGGCTCTTCATTCTGTAGACAAAGGTGACAGGCCTATCAACGCAGAGCTACACGGGGATCATGAAGAGCGAGTGGGGGAAGGGACACCCTTAGATATTTCATGTGTGGTTTCTAATGATGGAGGGAGCTGGAGGGAGCCTGTGTGGGGCCTTCACTCTCTTTGGGACTGGAGAGTCAGACCTTTGGTTTTCTAAAGGCAGAGGGAGAAAGGGGCACCCAAGTTCACAGATCACATGGCTCAGTTGGTAAAGTGCTTGCTGTGCAGGCATGAGAACCTGGGTTCAGACCCCCAGAACCATGTGAAAAGCAGGGAGTAACCCCAGTGCTGTGGGAGGAGAGATCGGTGGATCCCTCAAGCTTATTGTCAGTCAGCCTAATGTACTTGGTGAGCTCTAGGTTCAGTGAGGGATCCTATCTCAAAAAATAAGATGGAGAGCATCTGAGGAAGACACTTGATGTCAACCTCTGGCTTCCACATGTACACACGTGTGTGTGTGTGCACACCTGTGCATACCTATACAATCATGTACATATATCCCCATTGCCCGCACACATTTGCAAATACAAATCCCAGGGGCAGAGTCAGACAACACTGTTGCCCACAACATGCAAAGATCAGTGAAGAAATGGGCTTGCGCACACATCAGTCATCCCTCGTGAGTGGGAACTAGAGCTGGGGATACACTCTGGACTTCAATAGCTGCTGTGAAAGTCCTGAGCATGCAAAGCTGCCTGACAGACTTTTGTCTTACACCAGCTCAAAGGCAAATGGGAAGAGTAGTTACAGACCCCACTTTTCCCTCGTCTAGTCGTGTCTTCTATTCTTTTCCTTAATAAAATCTCTCTCACACTGACTCATCCATTGAGGAGGCATGCCAAATGGAACAATTGTGTCTATTTTAAGATGCAGACAGCAGAAAGAGCCCCTCTGGGCCTGGCTATCACTAGGGGCATCCCCAAAGGGCAGGTGCTAGATGGTGCATCAGTTTGAACAATAGTTACTTCTCCCTGAAATCAACTCTGGGGTCAACAGCTGGATGTAAGGCCTGAGGGGTAGCCTGTTACCACGCTTTATTCTTGGCACCCCAAGAGCTGAGTAGGCAGGTACTTGTAGCCCTTAGCCTGCTGTAGTGGGGAGTGGCCACTCCAATGGGCAGAAAGCGATTTTGGCTCAATAGCATCTCTACTACACTCTGAAATCAAAGTCTGTAGGTTTCTGTCAGTAAACACCAACTAACTGGCTCCTCCAATTATGGTGAAGGTGTATCTATATTGTGATTCAAGAAGCTGCCTGACAATGCGAGGATGAGAACAAACAGTAAACAAAACGCAGCTGGCCCAGGAAAAACTCATTTCCCCACAGTGGAGGAACACATGCAAATACGATGTGCTCAGAGAAATGAACCAACATGTGATTAAAATGACATTTAATCTTCATGAATATTTGCAATAAAATGAAACCTTTAATCTGCAAATATTGATTTTTCTATTTAGAGTTGGGAGTGTGGTATTTAACCGGACAGGGAGTGGGAAAGAGAGCAGCAGTTAATTTGGCTTTTTAGATGGACTTCTGTTTGCCAACGATGAGATGGACGAGGCAATAGTCCCCGGTTTTCTGGGGGAAATGTTTGCACTTTGGACAAAGATTAAAAGTAATATGATTAATTCTGGACAGAAGCTTTGTACTCATATTGAGGAGGCCTCAGCTTCTGAGGTCATTGGTCCATTGCTCTCCTAAACCTTCCAGAATGTGCCTAAGAAGGCATCAGCCAGTCTTTGGAAACTTGCTTATGCAGCATCTCTCTCTCTCTCTCTCTCTGTGTGTGTGCGCATGCACGTGCGTGTGCGTGTGTGTACTGGAGACCAGATGGATGTCAATCTTGGCTGTTGTCCTTCAGGGCACTGTCACGCTGCTACGTTCCGTGACAGGGTCTCTCACTGGTCTGCAATGTGCTGAGTTGGCTAGGCCAGCAGATCCTAGGGGTCCTCCTGTCTCCACCTTCCCAGTGTCAGGATTGCAAGCTTGTCCCACAATGCCTCATGTTTGTTTGTGTGGATTCTTGGGGTTTAACTCAGTTTTTCATGCTTGCATGGCAAGCCCTTTACCAGCTATCGCCGCAGTCGCAGTCCAGGAAATAAACTTAGCGATAAAGTGCAGGGCGGCTTTTCTTTTGTTAAATGTGGGCACCAGAATTTTAATACCAGTTCTGCCCCTTGTTTGATGCTGGTGGATTCTGGGATTTGTGCAGCAAGGTGCTGTAACACACAGAAGGTAGATGGTTAGTGGAGTGTAGCCTCCTCATAACTATCTAAGTCATGCCTGTGGTCTCTGATGAGAAATGCTCATGATCCTGAAGGGGCAGCCACTGCTTCCTGGCAGTTGATGGCAGTCCAGCCTCACACAGGCCCCTATAATGCTCAGCATCCCTGCACCACAGCAAAGGATACAGAAGGATGTAGTTCATGAATCTCTTTAGGGAAAGGTAATGCAATGGGAAGCTACTTGAAACTGGATTTCTCTGGAGCCCCTTACAGAGTCTCAGATCATGGTATGTAGGTAGTCAACCTCACTGTGGCTTGTCATGGCTGCTTTGGTCAACTCATAGGGTTCCAGACCATGGTGTGCAGATGGCTTCTCACAGCAGCCCAGGATGGAACACACCTATTCTCTGTGAATGGCTGGGTGTCCTGGAAGAGCTACACAGTGTCCTAGAGACCAGTGTTCTTACAGAGAACACAGTGCTTTAATAAACATTTAATAAAATGGGCATTTAGGACATTCATGGCATGGTGCCTTCTCTGGTTCTAGTTTCACAGTTGAAAGAAAGGATTGCTTCTTCAAATATCAGCTACTTGCTTGGTTAATTAGGAATTCACATTTAAAACAGTAAAATTAATTACTTTCATGCCACTATTTTTCTGTACTCATGTTTCTGGGAAAGGGCCTGGCTCCCTGAGCGTTGTTCAGGAGTTCACACTCACACCCATGTCTGAGCCAGTGGCCTTCTCCCACCTGGTGAGATGTTCAGTCTGAAAATATAGGGAAACCCAGCTGCTGTTGGCTTTATGGCCACTCTGCCATGCTGAAGAGGAAGACAGAGTAGGTCAGCTAGAGGATCTGTCCCTAGGACCCCAGGACAAGGCAGTGTTTCCATCCAGGGGCTGGAGACCAGATGGGAAGCAGCTTCTTGGGGAAGTCTCTTGGGGGAGAGTGCAAAGGACTGTTCCCTGCTATACTTCTGGCTGGGCTTTTATTTATTTATATTTATTTATTTATTTATTTATTTATTTATTTATTTATTTGAGCCTGTCCTTGAAACCCAGCCTGTATAATCCCCCTGTGCTGGCTCCATGTTCCTCCGCCCTGATTTTCCTGCTTCTTCTTGTCAGAGGCTGAACACCATAACACAGCTTCTGAACCTAGTTCACTCCCATGCCTTGGGATTTATGAGCCATCTCATCTCCTGTCTAGATGGGAACAACACGAAGAGCTATGCTCTAGTTGGTTCACTTAAAAAAAAATCTACTGAGGTGAAATTCACAAGTACAGCATTTTAACAAAACGGAACAATCCTAGCATTCAGTCCTGCATGACAGCATACAGCTGCCTCCTCAAGTTCTGAAACCATCCCTCTCCCTCCAAACGAGAACACCCTGAACCACCACGCTGATGGCCACTGGCCCACTTTCTGTCTCTGTGGATAGACTTCTGGATGTTTTATATGAACAGAAGCATGCCACATGGGACCTTTTGTGTCTGTTCTTTTCACTCAGCATCGTGTCCACAGTAGTACCACACACAGCTGCCAAAGGTGGAAATCCTCTTATAGGCATTTGCGCTTGACCCATGCGATGGAGTAGTACTCAACCTTGACAAAAGGGTCAATATCCTGATACGTTCCACACATGACATATGCTGAAGGAGAGTAGCTGATTCATGTTTTTATAGCTAAACATTTTTAATTAACAAAATTTATATGTATCAAATAAAAATATTCTCTTGAAATATGTATGCACTGCATAATGAGAAAATGGAGTTAATGAATACATACATTATAACTTTTAAATTTCAAGTACAACTTAGAATCTACTAATAAATCTTATTTTCTTTAAATTTATGTGTATGTGTGTGAGCCTGTATGAGTGTATGTGCACCATGAACATGCAGAAGCCCTTTGAAGCCAGCAGAGGGCATCAGATCCCCTAGAACTAGAGTTCCAGATGGCTGGTGAGCTGCCATGTGGGTGCTGGGAATCAAACCTAGGTCCCCTGCAAGAGTGACCAGTGCTCTTAACCACTGAGCCATCTCTCTCATCTATGTGTAAATATAAAAAAATACAGCACATTAACAATTACACTGTGCTGTTCATTAGAATCTTCTGAGCCGACTTGTCCCGAAAACAAACTGAAACCAACTAGTATTCCCCAGCATCACCCATTCCAATAACTACCTATACTGTCTTCTGAATGAGACTATGCAGTTAATGGTGGTTTAGCTGACTGCCAACTGTACTGGATTAAGAACCACCTAGAACATTGGTGAGGAACAACTTGGGGTCTGTCTGTGAGGTGTTTCCAAATAGGATTAACTGCTAGAAGACCCTCTGTGGGTGACACCGTCTTGGCCTGGGTTCCCAGACTGGATAAAGAGAGAGAAAGGAGGAAGCCCCCACTGAGTACCAGCATTCCTCTCTCTGCTCCCTGACTGTGGATACAGTCACATGACCAGCTGCCCTACACTCCTGCCACCATCATGGGTTGTATCGCTTCAAACCCTGAGCCCAAATAAACTCTCCCTTCCTTAATTTCATTTGTCATGCATTTTGCCATAGCACCGAGGTGAATAACTGATACGTGCATTGTTCATCCCTCTGTGCCTGGCTTCTGTCACTTATCACAGTCACAGTATCCTCTTAGCTTCATCCATGTCTCCTTCTTACATCTTATAGCTTCTTTACCTTTTTGTCTCTTGCTGGACAATCAGGTTGTCCTGGCTGTTGTGAACTGTGATG